ATTGATAACCCAGGAGGACAGCTTGATTTTGAGTTTGGTCACAAGACAGTAGACCAGAAAAGTATCTCGTAAAGAGAAGGTTGAGAAAGACCCAGTACGGGGAAGCAGAGTAGTTGCCACAATGTGAGCTAGAACACGAGTTTCAAAACTAACATCACTAGGACCTAGTTGGTTGGGAAGGGATTCAGATGGACACTCAGTAATACATCTTTTGACTTGATCAAAAGAAATTTCAAAATCATCGGGCCAGGAATTTTTGAAGAGCATAGGGAAACCAGAACACTTGCACTGAAAAATCGAATCAAACATGGAACAATCAAGAACAATACGCTTTCCCTAGTACTAAGGATTCCAACTTATCAGACCTACTGGAACGAAGATTTGCATAGAACATTCTCACTAGAGGTTCATAGACTTTAGGAGGAGGAACAGAAAAGAACTTTGACCACCCTTGATAAACAAAAAAGGTCCTTTACATTACAATTTAGGGCTTCTATGTCATTAAGGTCGACCACCCTCCCATGAGCAATAGGCTTGTCTGTTAGGGAAAGAAAGAGGTCCCTGTTAGGAGAATCCCAGAAATTGAGTTCCGACTCAAGGGAACTGGAAAGGTCAACTTTTGATTTCTTTGGAGTGGTGGAGACAGGGGGTTCTTCCATGGGCCTTTTACCCAGGGCTTTTTCTCCTAAGGGTTGAAAATGATCAGAGAAATCCGCCTGAGAAGAGGCGAGCCCCTCAGAGTGATCGGACCCTAGATCTACCTGTTCAGGGGGTTGAGAAGGGGGTTTTCCCTTGGAGCGGGTGCTCTTTCTAATGAAGACAGAAGGAGTTTTGGATTGCTTAGACATTGTAGGAGGTTGGTGGTGGTGCAAGATTTTGGAGAAGGGGTATAAGGGCGATAGAGACAATGGAGATTGATATGAGAAGATAGCATAAAAAGAGTTTTCTGACGGTTGAGTACAGAAAAGGAAAAGGCGTTAGTTGATCAGACACGATGATTGTTTTTCCTTTTTAGAGGTCTGTGACTGATGTGAAAAGAGAAGAAAAAGGAGGGAAAACGGAGGCGTACTTAATGCATAAAGAAAATGTGGAACTTTCTATATATAAGATTAAATAATGGCACAAAGGTCATATTATTAGCTATTAATGCAAATAATGCCGAGAAGTTTTCTAAGTGAACAGAATCTTTCTTCTAATAGTGGCTCGGTAAAGATATCCGCTAGTTGATCAGCAATTCCTACAAAGGATATTTCTATATTTCCCTTAAGAACATGATCTCTAATGAAGTGATGCTTGATATCTATATGCTTTGCCCTAGAGTGATGAACATGATTTTTAGAAAGACAAATAACACTAGAATTATCACAAAAAATCTGTATAGGTTTAAAAGAAAGTTCATAGTCACCAGTTGATGGACATCCACAGTAATTGTGCACAGCATTGTCCAATAGCAATGTATTTAGCTTCAGTGGTAGATAATGCAACTAATGCTTGTTTTTTACTGTTCCAGGATATCAATGCTTTTCCAAGTAATTGACATGTACCACTTTGGCTCTTTATATCTTCCTTATCACCTGCAAGGTCAGCATCTGAAAAACCTTCTAATTTAAAAGAGTTAGAGCGAGGATACCATAGTCCATGGACACAGTTCCAATGAGATATAGAATGATTCTCTTTACTGCAGTCAGACGACATTCCTTAGGAGCTGACTGAAACCTGGCACATTTACACACACTAAACAAAGTATCCGGTCGACTTGCAGTCAGATACAGTAATGAGCCAATCATTCCACGATACTTAGTTTCATCAACAGGGATTCCCTGTTCATCTTTGTCAAGACTCGTTGAAGGACTCATTGGTGTGCCAATGTATTTAGCATTACTCATGCCAAATTTTTGAATTAGTTCCTTTGTGTATTTGGTCTGACATATAAAGGTTCCTTCATCAGATTGTTGAATTTGAAGTCCAAAGAAGAATGTTAGCTCTCCCATCATGCTCATTTCGAATTCACTTTACATGAGATTTGAAAATTCCTTGCACATAAGAGGGTTAGCACTACCAAATATAATATCATCAACATATATCTGAATAATGAGATTACCTTCTGATGATCTTTTAATAAACAAGGTAGTATCTACATTACCTCTTGTGAAGCGATGATCAATAAGAAATGAACGAAGTCTATCATACCATGCTCGTGGAGCTTGCTTTAGTCCATATGGTGCTTTAGTGAGCTTATATACATGGTAGGGAAACTTTTAATCTACAAACCCAGGCGGTTGTTTCACATATACTTCTCCTTCAATAAATCCGTTCAAAAAGGCACTTTTGACGTCCATTTGAAAGAACCTGAATCCCTTAAACGATGCATATGCCAGAAGGATTCGTATAGACTCCAAACGAGCTATTGGAGCGAAAGTTTCATCATAGTCGACTCCTTCCTGTTGTGAATATCCCTGAGCAACTAATCTGGCTTTATTCCTTACGACCTTTCCATCCTCATTCAATTTGTTTCTGAAGACACACTTTGTTCCAATTACAGAAACATTTTCAGGTTTGGGTATCAGTTCCACACTTGATTTTTACCAAACTGATCTAACTCTTCCTGCATTTCTTGTATCCAACTTGAGTCTTTTAGAGCTTCCTCTATCTTATTGGTTCAACCAGAGAGATTAATGCTAAATTTTCTTTCTTTTTGAGAGCTCCTCTGGTTTTCATTCCTTCATTTGGATCCCCTATGATGAATTATTGAGGATATTCAGGTTCGCTTCTCCGTTCATTTGGACGCACTACATTAGTAGTTGACTCGCATCTGGTACACTGCTGCTGATTTCATTAGTTGACTCTACCGTAGCAGATTTATCAGTTGACTCTTGAGATTTTCTTGTCTCCTGAATTTCTTGAGCTTGATCTTTATTACCTGCAGTAATTCCTTTCTCGACTAAAGGATTATTTTCATCGAATATAACATGTACAGATTCTTCCACACATAATGTGCGTTTATTATAGACTCTAAAAGATCTGCTATTTAATGAGTAACCCAGAAAAAACACCTTCATCACTTCTATCGAATTTTCCAAGGTTGTCCTTGTCGTTATTGTGAATGAAACACTTACTTCCGTAGGGATGAAAATAACTGATATTAGGACGTTTACCTTTCCATAGTTCATAAGGAGTCTTCTTCATAATGGGTCTTATGAGACATCGGTTGAGAATGTGACAAGTTGTACTTACACCTTCTGTCCAAAAATGATTTGGCAGTGAATGAACTAGTAACATGGTTCTTGCCATGTCTTGGAGGGTTCTGTTTTTCCTCTCAACAACCCCATTTTGTTGTGGTGACTGTGGTGCAGAGAAATTGTAAGTGTATCCCTGATCATTACAGAAATCTTCAAATGCTCTACTTTCAAAATCTCCTCCATGATCACTCTGAATTGTTGAAATCAGATATCCCTTTTCTCTTTCAACCTTTTTGCAGAAAATATCAAAACTTCTTAATGCTTCATCTTTATGAGATAAGAAAATTACCCAAGTGAAACGTGAATAATCACAACAATAACAAAAGCATGTCTTTTTCCTCCTATACTAGCAGTTCTAGTAGGCCCAAATAGATCCATATGAAGCAATTGCAAATGTTTAGAAGTAGATACAATATCTTTATTTTTGAAAGAGTTTCTGGTTTGCTTACCTATTTGACATGCATCACAGATATGAGTTCTAGAAAAATTCAGTTTGGGTAGACCAATAACTAACTCATGTTTGGACAATTTTTCTATCAAATGCATGCTTGCATGACCAAGTTTTCTATGCCATAACCATGGATCATCAGACATAGATGTTAAGAAAATATGACCATCTATCTTTTCAAGACCATCAAGAATATAAACATTTCTGTACCTTTTTCCTGGGAGGACTGCTTTACTTGTCTCGTCTTCAATAGCACAGCTTATTTTCTTAAAATTTACCTCATATCTTGAATCGCATAGTTGACTTATGCTCAGGAGATTGTAGTTGAGTCCATCGACGAGATAAACTTCAGTGATGTCACAGTTGTTATTGAAGGGAATTGTTCCAGTACCAATTATCTTTCCTTTTGAGTCATCTCCAAACTTAACGCTTCCTCCATCAATTTTTGTAACTTCTTTGAACAGGTTTTTATCACCTGTCATGTGACTGGAACACGCACTGTCTAAGTACTATTTTCCTTTACGGCTTATTCTGCGGTGTTCCTGCAAAACATAGTGATTACTTTCTTTTAGGTACCCAAGCTTGCTTAGGTCCTGGAGGGTTAGTATTACTAGATTCAGAATTGTTTTTTGGTTTCCAAACCCATCCTGAAACATTTGCTTTACGAAAGCGACAAAAAGAATATTTATGTCCACTTTTGTTACAGTAGTGACACGTAACTCCTGACCCACTTTTAGGTCTTTGTGTTAGTACTACTGGACTTTGTTCTAGCTGGTGCTTTTTTAGTTGACTTGTAGGTTGCCTGGTTTGACCTGACAGAACTGTGACTGGTGGATTTGCGCATGCCATTGAGTTGCATTTGCAATTCCTCAAACTCTTCTTGAAGTACTTCTTTTTCAATTTCACATACTTCATGTTTGAGTTTCCAGTCTTTAACTTCTTTATTAAGTCTCTTAAGCTCATTCATCATTTTTTGAGACTCTTTCAAAGTTAAATCAATAATGTCCTGCAATTCATTGCATCTTTCACAGTTATAAGATCTTACCTCACTTGTTTCACCTCGTTCCATGAAACAGTTCTCATTGTCATCTTTGCATTCGTCATCTGAAGTGTCCTCATCTGTCCAGCATCCTGAGGATTTGTTCATCTCGTTTTCCAGAATCGTCATGAAACAAAGATTTGCTATTTCTTTGTGTTCTGAATTGTCTTCATCGCTCCAACTTCCCAAAGATTTGTTCTTGTTAAAGCCTCTGGAAATTTTTCTTTTTAGATCTGGGCACTCAGCTTGAATGTGTCCAAATCTTCCACACTCATAGCATTTTCCATCATTCTTGTCTTGTTCGTTGTATTGCCTGGATCTCCTAGGTGGAATTCTTCCTTTTCTCGTATTCCTGAATCTTCTCATTAAGCCATCCATGTTTCTTGATAGCATAGCAATCTTTTCCTGGAGAGCTTCAGGATCATCATCGATTTTTCATTTTCAGCTATTTCAGTTGAGGCCTTGAATGAGACTGTTTTCCTTTTTTCTTTTTGACTAGTCTTCTTGAGATGTGTCTTTTCAAAGGCTATAAGTTCTCCTCGTAGTTAATTATAGGATAACTTGTTTAGATCCCGAGATTCTAGTGTGACCACTTTGGTCTGCCACGTGGTTGGTAGACTTTTGAGAATTTTTCTGAGTTGATCAAGTATATGGTTTGCCAAATGCTTTTAGATCGCTCATTGTTTTGCTGAATCTGGCAAACATCTCTTCAATAGACTCTCCTTCTTTCATTGAGAAGAGTTTGTAATCATGAACCAACATGTTGATATGTGTTTCCTTTACTTTGCTGGTTCCTTCGTATGTAACCTCAAGCTTGTCCCACATTTCTTTGGCTGTGTCACAGCTAGAGATTTTCTCATATTCTTCACCACTTATGGCATTGTAAAGCAAGTTTCTCGCTTTATTGTTAACTTGTACCACTTCCAGTTGCTCTTTTGTATATGAATCTATATCCTCAGGATCAGCAAGTGGTTGAGCAGCAGGTGGCAGGGGATAGTTCCCCGTTTTGAAGACTCTCCAAACTTTAACATCATAAGCCTTGGCATAGATCTCCATACGCACTTTCCGGTGAGAGAAATGTTGTCCATTGAAGTATGGTGGCCTAACTTGTGAAGTTCCTTCCTGGAAGAGAGCCCCTATGATAACTTGATTTGCCATGATCTTTTCTCACAAGCTATTAAGCAAAAGAAAAATGTGAGACTTTCTCTGGTACCAATTGAAAGTACGAGAGGGGGGGGGGGGTGAATTGTATATTTTTAAACTTAATCTCTGTTAGTTGACTGGTTTTTCAATTAGTCGACTAGATGCAATAAACTAATAATTATAATAACAGAATATAAGATGCTGAAAGTAAATGCAGGAATTAAAGACACCAGAATTTTTATACTGGTTCGGATTCAATGTGAATCCTAGTCCAGTCCCCTTGGGTTGCAAGGGAGTTATCTTTAGTGAATGAGTTTCTTCGAGTACAATGGAAATGTAGTGATAGCTCAGTTCCTATATCACTCGTCTCTTTTGATACAATGCCTCACCAGTGTTGTTCTCTCTTTCTTCTCTAACTTGTTACACAACAGGTCTTAGAGAGCTACAACGTCTATTTGCAGTAGAATAAAGAGAGGGTGTTTGGTTCGATCAAAGTATATCTAGCTAAGGTGTGATTACAGGTTTAAATACTTTGAGAGAGAGGCTTGAATTCTGGAAAGATTTGCCAACCTAAGAGATTTGATCCTTGGAAAGAGATTGATTCTTTCCAAGAATAAAGTTGTTCTGTAACGACTCTGTTGAACTTGGAATCTTGATCCTCTATATTTAGACACTTGATTGAATATTCATCGAGATCTTGATTTAGCTGATTCCTTGAGTTTAGCTATAATTGATCCCATCTGTATCTTCAGTGATTTCTTCTTCCTTTAATCGCGTCCCTTGATTCCGTCAGTATCTTCACTCTTGATTTCTTCTTCCTTCAATCTTGTAACTCAATCCATACGTTCCTTGATCATTGCTAAACTATATCGCCAATCCAAGAGTTTCTACCCAAAAAGAAAATATATTATTTTCATCATTAAAATTAGATCTAACAAGTGAGTAATAGCAACAATTGGAAAGCAAGGGGGTATCCACGTCAATTAA